AAAAAAGGAAAGATAGGTTTAAAACAATATTCTCGTTCTTCAGTTCTAGTTCAGTTTATCGTAATTCCCGCCTTAGGAAATAAAAGGAGCATATAAATCACTTTGGCAACTCGTAAACGTCAGCTGTAAGGTGGTAACTGTTGTGTTAGTACAAATTAAATGGATATGCTTTTGACAAATGTATTTTTACGTTACTTTTGGAAGCTTGTCACGAAATACCTATATTAAGTTTTTTTTTACTCGTTTGGGTTATAATTTTGAATATGGATTGAGAAGCAGTTGCCTCAAGAACTGCCGTTGCGTAGGTAGTTTCTGAATGTAGGACAAGTAAAAAAAATATAGTTTTTCAACTATGGGCCTTAGCAATCTCTCTTAATAGACTTCTATATTTTTAAAACCAAAGGTGTTAACGACATCAACAACCGATCAAAAAGTAAGTAGTAAGGTGTTGAGAGAGTCATGCCTGACGTGGGAGAACCATTCTTTACATATAGATCAGGTCGACCGACAGACCTCAGAAAACCGGTGTGCACGAGTGAATGCAGTTACCGGCGGGCCAACTCTCTCACTCTTACTCTCTCTTCACTCAAAGAGCGGGAATGTGTCTCTTGAGTTCCAGGTGTCAATGGGCGACGGTAGTCGCCTGCCATGAGGTCACCTTTCTTCTAGTTTATCCATCATTCATCATCTGCCTACCCTTTTCCCAATTTAATTTGGGGTCGCCGCAGTAAGTATGATTCTTCTAGTCTACTCTATCACCTCACTGTTTACTCCCTTACTAGCCATATCCTCTCTCAAACAGTCCATCCACCTTTTCTTTGGCCTTCCACTTCTCTTGTACCCTTCAACTCTCATACCTAGCACTTTTTTGGCCACATTTTCCCCATCCCTCCTACCAAGATAATTTATTCCTTCTTCACTTTTCATCCAGTGGCGTTACTTTCAGACTTCCTCGTATATACTCATTCCTAACCTTGTCCATCTGAGTCACACCACACACATAGCTTACCCATATACCATAAAAGAAATATGCTGTACTCATCAGAAAACCACGTTATTAGTTAGTAGGCTTTGACGTAAGTACAAAACGTTACAAAACGTTCAGAAATTAAACCTATTGAAATATCAAACGACTCTCGGTCATACGGTACCCTAAAATACTCCGAGAAAATGCTATATAGTATATACGTTGATGCATTTAGCATACATTTGCACTCGTCGAGAATTTAAATCACTTATCTCACTCGCGACTATAGTAATGTCATTTTGATCATTGATTAATGAAATTTTTATCCGAAACTGGATCACTCGTGTACCAAAGCCCATAAATCTTTATCAGAAAAATCACAAGATTTAGGGCTTTGGGTACATGAATGGCGAGGAGTGTTCAAATGGGTTGAGATTTTTTATGTCACTCGTGAGATTCGGCGCTATCATATTGACGCTGTCTTGATCATTGACTAATAGAATTTTCTTTTGAAATTTGTTTCTATAATAATATGATACGTAACGAAATCTCAAAATCTTATTAATAATTAATTGCAACTATTATTCCACACTCGACGGTTCATCTTCAGGACCCTGTACTTTCTAAGGTTCAATAACACACCTGCCGACTCTCACCGCTTAACGACGAACGATAAACTACCGAGTGTCACGTTTCAACAGATAGGTCGTGCGCCAGAGGTCGCCACTTTCTAACTAATGTGTGCGATCGCAATTTTCTTAGAACAAGCTTCTAGTTAATGTAAAGTGGAGAGCAGATTGTGCGATTAAGAGCTGCGATTTTGCAACAGAGATGTTTGTTTACTTATTCTGCTATTTTATCTTATGCTGCTATTTTATGTTAACGTAAAAGGCACTAACATTCCAAGAAATAAATATATTTTTTACTCTTAGAAGTGAAATATATTTAAGTTAACACAGTAGCCTAAGAATTACAACAGCCTTTCGTCCCTCCCTTTACAGAATATTGCTTTTCGCGTTGCAAAGATGTTTATTGTTAAAGAGTTTTCCTGCACATATTATGTCGTAAAATACACACGAGACCTTATTCCTATGCAGTTAATAGATGATGATATATTCTACTAAATTTTGCCCGCAGCTCCGCCAATGTGTATGACGGTTATAGCAGTAAAAAGCTTGTGTCCTTCCTCAAGAACCAATTTATCTCCATACCAAATTTTAACTAAATCGGTTCAGCGGTTATTGTTTCCCCCTACAAACTTCAACCCCCCTTTTCACGCCCTGAAAGGACTTTTTTTATGGTATAAGGGGCAAACGAGCAGACGGGTCACCTGCTGGTAAGCAACTACCGCCGCCCATGGACACCTGCAAATAAAAGTCACAAGTGCGTTGCCGCCCTCCTTGTCCTCGCCTCTTGTTGAGTCCCTCCCGCTCGAGTCAGCAGGAGGGGGGATTTGGGCTCCGGTAACCTCTCTCTCAGTGAAAGGCAACGAAACAATTGCTTAATACCGGTTTCCTGTGGGGCCGTGTTATCACTCCGGTCGTAATCCTATCTTATGTAATTTCCCGACTCAAACTATCTCTCTACCAAATTTCATCTAAAGCGGCTTAAGCGTGAAGAGGTAACAGACAGATAGACAGACACACTTTCGCATTTATAATATTAGTATTGACAGTACACAGGGTTATCACCATCACACCTCGACTTTTAACACGACATGCGTTAGACGACTCGATTCGAAGCATTCTCGTTTAACTTCTATAGCAGCATATGCAAAATGCAATTTCCTTTGAGTCATTATGGAAGATTCTAGACCCATTATCGTCGAGAAGCATGTTATCTAAGAGCCAATAATACATCTCTGTGTCTTTCGACAGCACGATATAATTAATGATTCGTGTTCTGAGGGTTTGTTTGTGATAATAGATAGGAGATTAGGGAGTACGAATTTGTTCTTAGAAAATTAATTTGCTTAGTTTTCTGTCTTTTTTTATTTCATAAGGCGATAAACCCACAGACGTGTCACCTGATGGTGCGTGACTACCGCAACTCTAGAGTTACAAGTGCGTTGCCGCCTCCCCCCCCCCTCCTTCCCCCGAAATCAGGAAGAGGAGAGTAGTTTGGACTTCGGTAACTTAAATCATCATCAACAGCCTTTAAAAGTTCACTGCTGTAGATAGGCCTCTCTTTAGAAAGGAGGATTTAGGCCTACTATACCACGCTATAGCGTGGCTTGGTAGGCCTAAACCTAGTAGGCAGCAGTGGACTAATATAGGCTGTTGATGTGTGATTGATGATACCACGCTAGCCAGACGGGTTGGTATACAGTTTGTTTCAAGTTTTCCAAGGCGGCTCTTGCGACATCCACGGGATGAATAGGGGTGGTGACACTTCGTACTCTTAATCCGTCACCTCACGGTATACCGGTAACCTCACTCACTCAGTAAAAATCAACGAAACAATTGCTTCATACCAGTTTTATGTGTTTAGACCGAGCATGGTTCTCCCACGGAGTTTTATGTGATGCCGTGGTATTACTCCGGTGGAGATGTTACTTTTTGACCGAGCATGGCTCTCCCACGGTCAGGAGGATGTTAGTATGTTTAATATTTTATTACTATACTTATTAGTTTGTTTATAAATTAGCAGAGACCTGTTTACTAGGAAGTGTGATTCAGAAGTTTTCAAAGAAAGTATTTCATGAAATGATTTATATTAACGGTACACTAGGTTTTTAAATTTATGTGAAGTAAATAGACCGGATTAGAACTGCGGGAAGATGTCACAGTTAATGATCAATCAAATAATATTTCGATCTTCTAAAATAGAGCTCAAATATTAGCCGTCTAAAGACAATGTCAACATGAGTCAAAACTTAAAGAAGTATTTTCTTTGAATGTCTATAAAATATATTTTACCTACATTTATAATCGCCCTGGCATAATAATCCATAGACCCCAGGACGGAAGGCAATTCCCCTCGCATCTCTTTTACAATAAATGGAAAAGAACAAAATACTGTTCTAAATTCAAATTTAAAAACCATGAATACCATTTTATCACAACAATGAATCGCAGCGTCAACCAGCCTTTGTACGAAGTAACTTTTTAAATTTAACAATATCAAAATGGCCGACGTTCATGTCTTGTTGTGACTGGCGTTAACTGGTTTTATACGGTTCCTTTGCATATGAAAAGGCGTATTCTAGACTGCAAACCGTCCTTTGTAAAAGTTCTAAGTTATATTATTTTTACATCAGAATAGAAATGAGGTACTTTGAGATATTTCCCTATGGCCTTATTTCCATTTTAAGTATAAATAATATTGTCTTGTTCGTTCGCAAAAAATCGAGTATAAATAAATACATTTATGACAGTTTATTTTAGGTAGACAAAATACACCTTAGGTCCGTACTTTTGAAATGTTTTTTTAAACATAAAAATGTTTAATGATTAGCAAAAACAAACAAAAATTGAAAGCTTTAATGGTCTGGTAAATGTCACAGTTCTGCACAATTTAAAAGTGTTTTTGGTTTCCTCTGGCAACGTTTATCCTTCGAACGGATCGGCGGCGGCGGCAATCTTTGTAGTTACTTTATATTTCTGCAGGATGTGTTAAATAAGTGTAGGTCACCGTGAGAGAATGAGAATGAGGGTTTTGTACCACCACGGCCAGTGCAATCTGGTTGAAACGTCAGGTAATTAAGAGGTTAAGTAATACCCAGTAAATTATACATAATAAATGTTAGTAACATGTAACAAGATATGGTCTTTTTATACTTAAACTAAATGGATTTTCTACTTTCAGGTGATTGGATTCCTTTTGTTGGTATTAGACACCCAATTTACTAAATTAATTTAATGAAATTTGTTAAATTTACCGCAAATAGCTTCCGCCATTCCTTCTTCGGTGTTTTAATAATTAAATAAAAATTATATAGTAGGTATAAAAAGGCCATATCCATTTTGATGAGGTTTTATTTTGTACCGCTCATTAAATAACATTATGATGTGATATTAACTGAATGACTTACATGTATAGTCCCAGCTGTCCTGGTCATTTTTGAACACGTTCAATCTTTCGGGCTGCAACAAAAAAAAACAACAATATAATATACAATAAATATATGTAAGGAGGAAAACAAATCAAAAATTATTTCTTTTTGTTCCTATCTCAAAGATTTTTGATTTGACTTTTCCCTTATTTATTACTAGAATTTTAACAGTTTTTTTCGTTTTCCAATCTTGTTTTATTTCACTGAATAATATAACATGTATTTTCATTATATATACTCTTGTATCATAACAGGTCAACATACATTTTAGACCACTGTAGTTATATGTAGCCGTTTTTTTTATAATCTTCAACTTTATATAATCTTCAACTTTATAGCGTGTGGTAAAAACAATTTGTATCGTTTAAAGCTTAGTGCCCTTCTATTAGACTAGATATTTAAAACGTCATTTTTACTCGACGAACAAACGATCAACGATTTTCTTATGTATCAGATTTTCATTACATTTTTATTTTTACATTACTTATTGATTTGAATATTTGATTTTATTTTTGTATTTTGATTTGATTATATTTTTGTAATATCTTTACATATTGATTCTTTTTTCTTTTTCTTTTTCTTATAAAAAGACAACTCCCGCATTAGGAATATATCCTGTGTCGCGGGGGACTTTACAAACATACATGAAACGGACACAAAGAACACCCAGACTCAGAACAACAATTTGTGGATCACACAAAGTGTCGTCCCATGTGGGGTTTGAACCCACAACACTCGACGTAGTAAGAAGCGGCGTGGCGACCGCTTAAACCACTACGTCATCCGTGCGGTCAGATTATTTTTACATTGCATTTTATAAAAAGGCACTAAATAAGAAAAACATTGCTTGCATTGGAAATCGAAATTTTCACAAAAGTTCTACTCCGTTTGAAAAGTTCTTGTACGACTCATAAAATGTGTGTAAACAAAAATACAACGAAATATAGTTTTTCATATAAGAGCCTTGTAGTATGGCAATATCCGACGATTACCGCGCATATTTTTACTGGATTGTGTAAGGGGTCGCACTAGTAACAGGCGAGCTATTTCAATATATTGCCTTCTGTCTTGTGGCGAAGTGCCACCAGCCCTTTCAACTTGTAGCTCTTAAATTAACGACTTTAGTAGGAAAACGTGAATGGAAAAATCTATTGAGATTTTGACAAAAAAACATATTTTATTGGAGACCGTCACCTAAGTTACCGCTTATTGGCAGTAGATTAGACTTAAATAGAAATATAGGTATAAACTAAATCTGATTCGCATCGAGTGGACGAGCGAAACACATACGATTCGGGTCTGGCTGATACGATTCATTATTCATGTATTATTGTAAACGTGTGTTTAAAGTAAAATATTAATAATTGAAACCTCACACACGGCCGTTTGATTCTAAACTCTGTCTGTACTGTGATAACTTTGCTGCTGATGCATGCATTCATATTTATTTCTAAATGCTTCATCATCATCAGCCTATCGCAGCACTGCTGGACATAGGCCTCTCCCATTGCACTTCACTTATATCGATTTTGGGCTTCTCGCATCTAAATCCTTACTATATATAATTAACTTTAAGAAAATACCGTGTTCATCACACAAACATTTCTCCTGTGTGGTAAGCGAACGCACCGGTCAGCAGTCATCAACATCAACAGCCTTTACTAGTCCACTGCTGGACATAGGCCTCTCCTTAGGAAGGAGGTCAGCAGTCTGGATTACTTAAACACTAAACCAACTCAGGGCAGTTACTATTTCGTACTTGTTATCTTATCTCAAAGGTTTTTGATTTCTTAGAGGTTTAAGAGCCCAACATAGACCAACTAAAAGAGAGAAATTATTTCTGCACTATTAATTTAGTTGATCTTTGTGTCTATATTGTGGCACGAATATTTGACAAAATATGGCTCGCGAGAGAAGCACGTCATCATTGTTAAGTAGGGACGCCAAACTATCAACTTCGGTATTAAAAATATGAGCAATTTTTGTGTCCTTCCGTAAGTATGATAGAAATATCAACGTCGCTCGTTTTACGGCCGAACATCGATAACTTGTCACAAACTATAGCATTCTTAGCTCGACTGGTGAGACGCGGCGTATCTTATTGTCACATTTGTCACAACTTGGAGCGAAGAGAAATATCGAGAGAGGACGTGTTAAGGGCTGGACATACAAGAAATAATGCAGAAAGATAGAATTAAGAACCTTTTGGAAGTCGGTTAAAATAGGTGGTAGGGGAATTTCATGGTGCACGAAAGAAGATAACTTATGAATATTAGAAAAGAAGAAATTAGTTCAACGCTTGTGCTAGAAGCGCGTTCACATCGAAAAGGTCGTGGAAGTGAATCTTAAAACTTAGTTACACTACCATCGCTAACGAAGCGACATCTACTTCTAATGCGTCTGATTAGTTGAATCCAACCCAACTCTTGCTGCACAAACATCGTCTCTCATTAGTCGCCATATTGAGACAGCTCCACAGAGCCCCATGTCTGCACGCGATCGACTGACAAAGGCGCAGACAATCTTACTTCAAGGGCTATTTGTTTCAAGCATCACTTTGTAGAAAATGGCTGCGCTCGGGAATGTGTCTCGTGTTTGTCACTTTAATAAGGGTGGGAGACAGAGCCGGTATTGTTGAAACAGACGTTGTGGTCGGTTTCTAATCTACGGTGTTATTGAACACTGATTAAAAAGAAAATTATTTATAGAAAGACTTTGTAGTTCGTAGTTGTTATTGCGAGAACAGTAACAACCGAGGGGAGTGATTGGCTGATGTAGTTAAAAATAAACTAAGAATACTACTAAAATACTACACTAAACTACAGCTGCCTTAAGAAGATATTACTTTCGGAGTACTCCAGTACTCTTATGAGGTAAATTGAAAGTTTGCGTTTGGTAAATTGAAAGGTAAATTAAAAGTTTGCGTAAGAAGGCAAACAATCAAACTAATTATTGCCGCCAAATCCGAAAAACATTTATCATTAATAAACATTACCACGGTAAATTTTCCTGCGAGTTAAACTCAGTTGAAGGCCACGGTCATAGCAGACGACGAAATGTCTACTCTTGTTTTTCCATAACAACCGAAAGTCTTTTTAATATATAGCAATATAAATAAATTTAATACTATGAACAATGTGATATCTAATGTTTTCCGTACCCTCTGCAAGTATAGAGCGTTTGAAAGCTCCCAGAGGGCATGCCTCCCTCTCACATAATGCACTACCCTCGTCGCCCTCAGAAGTCCTCCAAACATATTGTCTGTTAAGCTCTCGATACGAGTTTAATATTTTATTGTTTCTTTTGATGGAAATATGGGTCTTGTGAGCTTTTTGTCGCCTATAACAAGCTTCTTACAGTGCTCCCTTAGGTAATGTTGTCAACATGATAAAAAATAATAAAATAAATGCAAAGTATAATATAATTTAACAAATAATTTACTTTTAATAGAATTAATTTTCCGGCCTAAAGGAAAATCTTCAAATTTGAAGGGGACCAAATGAGAATTATAAAAAATGACAATCGATCTGACAATAATCAGAATTTTCCAAATCAGTTTATAAAAATGGAGGTCTGAGGTAAGACATAGAAAAAAATACAATCGAAGTGAGAATCTAATTTTCATTCGGCATCATCAATTTTTACCCGGCTTACTTACTTTCGATTTTTTTACACAGGAATCCCTATCACTGTATCTTTTGACTTTTCAACTACTGGCCGTTTAAATTTATATTATCAGATCTTTGACTCCTAGTACATTCGATTTTTTACTTGCTTTTACGATCATCGCTAATGTTCTTATAGAAGAAATCTGCCTTAGGCTTCCGTAAATTATATCAATATCAATGCGGAGTTCAATTCATCCTAAAGAGTGATTTCTGCTGTGGCACATTTCAGCTTAATAGTGCTTTTGTGTGAAGACAATACCGCAGAAATTTATTACAAATTGTAACAAAACCTCTCGATCAATCGTGAAAGGAAGCATCAAATAAAAGATAAAATGTAATATCTTAGATCAAATCATTCAGTGTCCAAGACACACCGTTCACCCCAACAAAACCCAATTTACTGTACATGCCTCCCAAATTTCCGAACAAGCGTACACAAAAAAATATCGGCATCAAAATATTCCCTCTTGTATGAGCGACATTTTCCATAATTATCACATCACTGACCTCAATTCCACAACATTATTGCGTTTTATACAAAAACGTATAATTATTTTATTAAAATATTTGTAGCATAGTTCTTAACACAGTTTCGTACCAAAGTATTGAAAGAATGTTGATTTGACCATTATTTTGGTAAAATTTCAAACCAAGCATTTACATTGTACGAACGAAGAATTTAGATTAATCACAATAATATTATAAAGAGTTTGTGTGTGTTAGTATGTTCGTTACTTCTTCAGCTGAAATGTCTAAACCAATTTCGATAAAATTTGGTATGGAGGTAGCCGACACACCTACTTTTTATGCCTTATTTATGCAAAAAATAATAATACATGCGGATCGCAAATTTTCACATAGCTCTCACAAACAGACACACACACAGACACCCACACACACAATATACACGCAATGCACATATATATTTAGATGCACCACACATCCCCTCATATCCCGTATACAGCAGTTTTACTAAATATTTAACAGGAACTCCTACTTAATATTTAAATTTGGAAAATATTTAAATAGAGTAAGTAGGTTTACTATCTTATTGTAAAAAGTAGAGTTTTATTTAGTTTAGCTGTGAAATTGGAAGGTTGCTAGTACTTATAGCACAGGATATCCTATTTTAAGTACCAGCAGAACACTATAATTAAGATTTTCTGTACCTCTATTGATATTTCTTCTACTCTGTGCCTACTTGTATATTGTGCCAATAAATAAATTTATAATTATATATTATTATATGCCGAAAAAAATGTAGTGTTCTCGTAGGATGAACAAATGAAGTGTCAGTTTGCCTGCGGTTTTGTTAGTTTAGATGTCGACAGCAACTAAAATAGCATCATACCAATTCTTTATT